AATGAAAAGTTAATGTTTATTTATTTATCTTTAATCCCTTAATCAAGCATTGGGATAATACTAACCACTACAAAAGATGACACCACTACACCATTATGTGTTACCCCAATATATTTAACATGCTAGTGTTAAATTCAATCTTCCTTTAATTTTTTTTTTTATTGTTGGGTGGATCACTAGTCTATCTTGTTTGTTTATTGAGTGAGACATATTCTTACTGGATGTTGAACAGGTTGATAGTCATCGGATTTTGTTTTGGTAAGCTATGTAAGTTACCAATTTGGATGGACTAGGCTTGCCCAATAGATTACTATGTGTATATTATAACTTATAAGCTATGTACGCTTGTTGATTTGAGTGGACTATGTTTGCCCACTGGATTATATCGACGGTGGAAAGGAAAAACCCTTGAAGCGACAATTTTGAAATTGTATAGTAGAGCCGATCAAAGTTTTAATTTTCCGAAAGAAAATTATAAAAAATTAAAATTTGAAGTTAGAGCGACAAGATAAAAAACAGTTTCTTTATTTTTTATTTACTGTCTACTATTAAACTTAGAAAAATATGCTAGCATGATGAAAGGATTTATGTGTCGCTTAATTATTTTTTGACAAATATAGCGGAAGGAAAAACACATTAAATGCCAATTCAGTACTTTGACAAACGCTAGGAAAATCACATGAAGTGACAAGCTATGCATGATATAACTAGGAGGAAAAACAACTTAAGCGTATCGAGCATTAGATACATGGTTGTGGAAAAACGAATTAACTAACAAAACCTTAATATGCTAAGTAGAGGAAAAACACGATATGCACTAGCTATGTCATAATTCAATGTTGTATTTTTAACTCAAGTCCCTACTTTGTTTCCAAAGGATACCAAAAAAAAGGAATATAGAGATAAAACAGTGCCTTTTATTGTTTTAAACGCTTACTGGTACAACATTTTACACTGAAAAACCCCATTCCAATGGGAAAACAAACATGAAGTGAAGTGTAAGTACATAACTATCTTCATTAGTGATCAAACAATATTATAAACAAAGAACACAGCGTCCGGTTCTGTATTGCAAACATACATTGATCTTATAAACCTAACTTTCACTATTAGAGACTTTAACAGCCATAAATTCTGTATCAAAATATTTCAAATTACTACCTATTTCAGTCTTGTCTCAGTCAACGTTGCTAGCACTAAGTATACCTAAGTAAAATTGTGAAAACAAAACAATTAAGCATTTGTTTCCGTATTGCAAACGTACTTTGAACTTATAAACCCAACTATCAAAAATAGAGATTTTAACAAATATTAATTCTGTATCAAAATATTTCTAATCCCTATTAGGCGCCTATTTCAGTTTAATGACTTAATCAACATTGTTAGCACTATAAGTAAAATCTAAAAAAAAACAAGCATAATTAAATGATTAATAGGAACATTAAAATCACATACTCGTACTATCAAATTTAAGGTTCGATGTTGCTTCTTGTACTATAAATCAATAGCATCCTCAATATCTGTTTCTGCTAACGTATCAATACCAACGACGTGAGGTATAATAACACATTCGTTGTGAAACAGTCTTGGTATGGCAAAACTCTCACAAAGTTTTATCAAATATTCATATTAACAGTAACTGGGTAAAGAGTTCTCGTAAAACTGTTTCACAATTTGTGAAGTTGGAGCTTTGTTTATAGATATAATTTGTTCTTCAGCATCAGAGAACATAAAGTATTTAACTGCCGTCACGTTGAGATTTGAATTTTATGAACGGCGGCCAGTACAATTCTATTTTTGTTTTGACCAGGGCAGGAATCCGAATACAGTATTAGATGTTTTACTGTGCCACATTCTTCCATCATTTGTATGTATTTTTGGATAATAGAACTTATTTCATTGCCTCCTCTCTTACCATCAGATTCTTCCCATATGTAACAGAAACCGTCTTTTGTACCATTTTCATAAAAGCAAACACTGTACATGGCATATTTTCGTAAATAGTACAAGAGCATACTCTCACCATGTGGAGTATTTAAAACCTTTTGCAGGTCGAATGACACACATACCATATCATTGTGCTTTTGGGCGAGTTCTCGATGTTGACTGTACCTCTCTTTACTGGTTTCTTTTTCTTTCAGATGTTCCTCTTTCTGCGTTTTACTCTCTTCAGTATTTAAAGCATCAAATTTCATACATTTTATGCATTAATCCTTTTTGGGAACGCGAAATCCGATATTAAATTCACTCTTGAAAATCTTTAACAAGACTTTCTCACTGACCACGTCGACACATTCAAAAGTTTTCTGATCCTTGTAAATGCGATATAAATTTTTTTGGTTTTTAAATTCAACGGGTAAGTAAAATTCCTTGAAGGTTCCTAATTCGTATCGGTCCGGAAATATCGCTGATGGTAATCGATTCCACAAGGAAGACGTCCGAGGAAGAAAACATCTTCTAAATCGCACAGTGGTGGACCGCCAATCATCCAGATAGTGTGGATGGTATCGGGAGTTCTGCCGCGATGTGCGTTTGTGAAATTTGGCGGCTGGGATTAATCCGAACAATTCCTCAGAGCACTCCTCGTGGTAGATGCGAAAGAAAATGCAAAGCAATGCAGCATCTCTTCGCAGTGTCAATGAATCGAGCCGATCGGAAAGGACTCGGTCGTCGACGATTCTGGCCGCTCTGCGCTGGATGTGGTCACGTGAAAGGAGCTGGCACTGGGGAGCCCCTGCCCAGAGATGGGAACAGTATTTTCTACGTGGTAGAGCCATGCTGCAGCTATATTATGGTTGTAGCACGAATGGGTCGGCTCGACCGGGGAAGGACCACGCTCTCACAGAAAACCAGCGTAAAATAGCAGCTTAACGCTGCTGTGTTTCGTATGGTGAGTGTAGAGAACCGGACACCCTTTTTACTGACAATGAGGCATTCCATCTTAGTCCTCACGGGTGACAAAGCATCTACATCTTGAGTCTTTATTGAGGATAGATGTAGATGTCTATGGGTCACAGTAACCACTTACCATCAGGTGGACTGTGTGCTCGTTTGTCACCCGATCGTATAAAAAAAAAGTATTCCATGTGAGGCCGAACCTGCGCCTTGTAAAGTTGCAGGCGGTGTGCCAGCATGTAATACTGTCCCGCTCTGCTGAGCACGCCAAGCTTTTTAGAGGCCGATTTTGGCCTTCTCTTCCAAGTGACCACGAAACTGCACGTCACTCCATATGTCGACTCCGAGGATTCCGATACTGGCTGAGGTAAGAAGGGGAGTGCCTTGAAACTGATAACACGAAAATTTACGTATTTACACGTACTTATTTACTAAAACACGCATTCTCTGTAACTGCTGTTCGCGATGCGACGAAACGTGCTGTACCTCGACGGCAATTCACCGATGAATGAAGCGCCACGTCACAATCATTTCCTAATATAGGTGACGTCACTTACACAAAAGAGACCGAAATTCATTGCTTGTAGCGACAAGACTTGTTTTGAATAGTTAACTTAAATACACAATATCGTAAACAATGCTTACTTTAACCGACTATCGTCTTTATTTATGAAGTTAGCGAAATTAAATGAACCAACGTTTCGGGAATAAAAGACTATGTCGGTTAATTTGAATATATATGTGGTTTTTATGTGTGTGTTTACTTTTACCGACAACACTGCTTTTTAAAGCGATTGCCAAAACAACTGAAATCCATAATAATCTATAATAATAATGTAGGAAAAACACATTAACTCCATCATACACATATAAGGTAAGCAAGGAAAAACGAATGTAGCGACTGACCACCAACGGAATAGGAGTAAGCAAAAACACATGTAGTGTTTAAAATAACATTTCCTATGACGGAGAAAAACGATTTAAGTAACCTATAATATCCGAAACAAAAAAGGAAAAACACATTAAATAATAATCTAACTATGGAGTCGGTACTTCAAGCGGTAAATGGACCAAAATTGCTTTAATTCTTTGTCACTTCATTTAGCGTCTAAAAAAATTGAGCCTAAATGTGTCATTACTTTAAGCGACACCAAAGTGGTCGGATCACCACTAAACTAAGACCAATCGACGCAGAAAAATTCGCTGATTTCAAATATGTATATAACTCATTTTCAACCAAAGTGTCGCTTCAAGTGTTTTTCCTTTCCACCGTCGATATGTTATAAATATTTTTTTATTTATGTATGCTTATTGATTTGAGTGGACTATGTTTGCTCACTGGATTACTATATATTATACATATTTTTAAATCTATGTATGTTAACTGATTTGAGTGGACTATGTTTGCCCACTGGATTACTATATTATAATTTTAATCTATGTATGCTTATTGATTTGAGTGGACTATGTTTGCCCACTGGATTACTATATATTAAACATATTTTTAAATCTATGTATGTTAACTGATTTGAGTGGACTATGTTTGCCCACTGGATTACTATATTATAATTTTAATCTATGTATGCTTATTGATTTGAGTGGACTATGTTTGCCCACTGGATTACTATATATTAAACATATTTTTAAATCTATGTATGTTAACTGATTTGAGTGGACTATGTTTGCCCACTGGATTACTATATTATAATTTTAATCTATGTATGCTTATTGATTTGAGTGGACTATGTTTGCCCACTGGATTACTATATATTAAACATAGTTTTAAATCTATGTATGCTTGCCAATTTGAGTGGACTATGCTTGCCCACTGAATTAACATTAATATATATAAATATATTTCACTATTCTCTTTATGACTCAGAGATAAAGTGGTCAAGGATTTTGATAGTTGTTAACACATCAGTATGTAGCAGATTAGATAGTGAAATAAAATGATACTTGAATCGATTCTGTCTCATGTGTTCTATACAACTATTAACATGTACATGTAATATGTGAATGATTGGGGTTTTTCTGATTTCCTGATTTATTTTGCTGAATTGATCATGTCGAAATTTTTATATACCTTACAGTAGCGATTGGCAATGAGGTCTGATAGCGGGACCTGTACACCACCTGGTACGCCGCCAAGGAGGCAACGGCGAGCTAAAAGGGTGAAGAATAGATCATATTCCTCATCATCTAGCTCAAGTGAGGAAGATGAACATCGGAGGCACTACAAGGCTGCAAATACACTATCTACAAAAAAGGTTTTTAAACTTTTAAAAAGAATTACTGAAGATAAGTCTAAAGGCTCTTTTAGCAATAGTAATTTCACCAATGTAATCCCGGAATTTGATCCATCTAACAGGGCTCAAAGCATTGAATGCTGGCTTCGTAAAGTAAACGAGTGCGCTGCGATATATGGTTGGGATAGTAAGCAGATTGTTCATTTCTCTTTGCAAAAATTAGTTGGCCTAGCAAAAAGATGGTTTGAGTCCTTGCCATCAGTTGCCTTCACTTGGGATGAGTGGCAAGCTAAGCTACGAAAGGCATTTCCTAGTGAAGAAAATTATGGACGGCTTTTAGAAGAAATGTTAAAACGTACTTCACGTAATGACGAAAGTTTGCGAGAATATTTCTACGATAAGCTAAGTTTATTAAATAGATGTGATATTATAGGGAAAAAGGCTGTTGATTGTATTATTTATGGCATTAGTGATCGATCAATTAGAAACGGGGCACAAACTTTAAATAGTCATGAACCTGAAGATTTGCTTAATTACCTTGCGTCACAGAAACCCCAGATATTTGACAGTAGACAAGGAGAGCGCATATCCCAAAAGTCGTTTAAATCCAGTGTCCCAAGTACAAGTAAAAGTATTTCAACTAATAACTCTCTCACTTGTTATAATTGTCGTTCTCAAGGTCATCCTTATTATAAATGCACTAAGCCAATTTTGAAATGCAGGCGTTGCAACCGAATAGGGCACGATAACGATGACTGTAAGTTACAACCTATTCACCCTTCTAATTATACCATCAGTATTAATAATAGATCGGAGAAGAAATCCTTGAAAATAGATTCCTTTAACAATACCAATGACAAGTATTTTAAGTCTGTGATAATTAATGAACACACTTTTGAAGCTTACATAGATTTCGGCAGTGAATGTACACTAATGCGGAAAACTGAAGCAGAGTCTTTAGCGTTACTGAAAATTTTTGACGGACTTCCTGTTGTGAGAGGTTTTGGTCACTCAACAGTGACACCATTGTATAAATCATCAGTCAATATTAAAATAGATGAAATAGAATCTTGTATAGAAGTTTTAATTGTCGATGATGCATTCCTCCAAACATCATTACTAATTGGACAAAATTTAACAGAATTACCATTTGTTACAGTCTTGAAAGATAACTCTAAACTTATATTTTACAATAGTCCGAGTCAAAATCTGTTCGGTAGGGACGAAGACGTTATAAAGCTTCACGTCAGCAATACAGTGGATATTTTCAAAACTGAATTGGTTCCAGTTCACACTAAGTCTAGTTTTACAGGGGACGTTTTTATCGAGGGTTATAACGCCATTGAAACTGGTAACGAGTATCGTCTATTTCAGGGAATATTCAATATTAGTGGCGGCAAAGGTGGAGTTTTAGCAAGTAATTTATCATCTCATGTTGCGACACTTTCACAAGATAAATTAATAGCTCGGTCCATCCCGATCACGGAGCACACGTTATGCCAAATTAACCAAATATTTAAAGACCCCTCCAAATTAGCACCTCTTGATAAAAACGATATTAAAACCGGACCAGATCTGGACAATCATCTATTAGATAAACTGTATTTGCTATTGCAGAGCTACCGTGATTGTTTCGCAACATGTCTTGGAGAAATAGGTTGTGTAGACGAAGTAAAAATTAAAATTGATTTAATAGATAATAGGCCAATAGTTTACCGCCCATATCGTCTTTCTCATCACGAACGTCAGCAAGTTCGAGAAACCGTAGATGAACTATTGCAAAATGATATAATTCAGGAGTCAAATTCTGATTATGCCAGTCCCATTTTAATGGTCAAAAAGAAAACAGGTGAACAAAGACTTTGTGTAGACTTTAGAGCATTAAATAATAAAACTATTAAAGACCGTTTCCCTCTTCCCCTTATTGAAGATCAAATATCTAACCTAAGTGGTAATTGTTTTTTCACGACACTCGATCTCGCTTCGGGATATTATCAGATTTCTGTAGCTGAAGAGTGTAGACATCTCACGGGTTTTGTTACACCAGATGGGCATTATGAATTTAAACGGATGCCATTCGGTCTTGCTAATGCCCCGGCTGTGTTTCAGAGAATGATAAATAAAATCCTCGGAAACAGAAGGTTTGAATATGCGTTAGCCTACTTGGATGATGTTCTTATTCCCTCAAAAAGTGTTGATGAAATGTTTCAACGATTAGAAGAGCTATTAAGACTTTTTCGACAATACGGTCTAACACTGAAATTAACTAAGTGTCGTTTCTTTGAAAAAACCGTAAACTATCTTGGCTATGATATCTCTGTAAATGGGATACAGCCTGGTAAAGCTAGGGTGTTGGCGGTAAAGGAATTTCCTACACCTTCTAATGTACATGAAGTCCGACAATTCCTCGGTTTGACCGGTTACTTTAGGAAATTTATAAAAGGTTATGGGGAAGTTGCCCGCCCTCTTACATCTCTGCTGAGGAAAGAGGCTTCATGGAAATGGTCTAATGCCGAAAACGCAGCCTTTTTATTTCTGAAAGAAAAGCTTATTGAATTACCGGTTTTAGCCTTATATGACCCTACTCTTGAGACGGAGGTGCACACGGATGCCAGTTCTTTAGGGGTAGGGGGTATACTTTTGCAATGGCAAAGAAATATAAGAGTTTTGAAACCAGTTGCCTATTTTAGTCGACAAACTACCCCTGAAGAGAAACATCTGCACTCCTACGAATTAGAAACGTTGGCCGTCGTGTGCACGCTTAAAAAGTTCCGCGTTTATCTTCTTGGCCTTAATTTTAAAGTATTAACTGACTGTGCAGCGCTTCGTACTACTCTCACTAAGCGAGATCTGGTTCCAAGAATAGCAAGGTGGTGGCTGCAGATAAGTGAATTTACATTCGAAATTGATTATCGACCTGGCGTTCAGATGACGCATGTTGATGCATTGAGCAGAAATACCGATCTGTCCATGGAGACAGATGACAACCCAAGCATTAGCGTATATAATATAGAAAAGGAAAATTGGCTTTTAACATTACAAATAGCAGACCCAGATATATCTCGTATTTTAAAAGTTCTTAAACCTGGAGATGACCAGGAATGTAAAGATATTCGACGAAATTATGTAGTTAAAAATCATACTGTATTTCGAAAAGTCAATGATAAACTATGTTTAGTTGTTCCACGGAGTGCGCGCTGGCAAATATGTCGTGCGAATCACGACGATATTGGTCATTTGGGTTATGCAAAAACACTTGAACGTATGGAAGAATCGTATTGGTTCCCTAAACTTCGAAAGTTTGTAAAAAAATACATTTCAGCTTGCATAGAGTGCGCTTATAATAAGGATAACAAAACTAAGCGTAAATCAGGATTTTTATATCCTATAAATAAAATACAAATTCCTTTTCATACCATACATATGGACCATCTCGGACCTTTTGTTAGGAGTAAAGACGGTAACACGCATATTTTAACAGTAGTTGACGCTTTTACCAAATATTTGTTTGTGAGAGCAGTCAAAGATCTTAAGACAAAAAGCACTATTAAAGTTATTGAGAGAATTTTCTATGATTTTGGTGTACCAGCTAGAATTATATCCGACCGAGGCACAAGTTTTACGTCAAAAGCTTTTAAAACTTTCTGTGATACAAATGGTATTAAGCATATTTTGAACGCAGTCGCTTGTCCCAGGGCTAACGGGCAGGCTGAAAGATTTAATCAAACTATTTTAAACTCTTTGTCAGCACAAAATTCTTTTGGTCATGAACGCGACTGGGACAAGTGTTTGGGCAAAATCCAGTGGGGTATAAATAATACTGTCAATGCAACAACCCAACAATCTGCGACAGAAGCTATGTTTGGAGTCAAAATGCGCGACTCTTTATCAAATAAGCTCAATACTTTAGGATGTTCCAGAAATTTAAATTTACAAGAAATTAGGGACAAAATAAGTGAAAATATAGAAAAAGAGCAAGCTAAACAAAAAGATCGATATGATGCCAATCGGGTCCCTGCAACCAAATACGCTGTGGGTGATTTAGTCAAAATTTCCCGTAATAATTTTGATAATGATAAAAAAAGTACAAAGCTTCTGTCAAAGTTTGTGGGTCCATATAAAATTACTGAAGTACTGGGAAACGATCGTTATAAAATAGCAGATGTTCCGGGATTTTCAAAAAAAGGCAAATTGTATACCACTGTTATTGCAGCTGATCGAATTCGACCCTGGATTCACATTAAAACATTAGAATTGTATAAATCAGATATAAGCACCGCCAGTGAAAATACCGAATAAGTCAAAATTAATAAGAAATTTAAAAATATATAGGTAGTTATATTAGAAAGTATACATAAGTTACGTATTTTTTTTTCCTCTCAATTCTGTGCGTAGTGACAAACGTTACTTGTACACTTTAAGTGCATTATAAAAATACAATGTTGATTACATAAATCTATGAATGTCATGATTGCTTATTTCAATTTGTTTGTTATGCCGGGAGGCATCACGTTGCCGGATGGCCGAATGTCATGATTTCTAAATTTATCATATGATTTTAAATATTCTTTTATAAATTAATGTATAATAATTTACTTATTTCTCATTGTGTGAATGTATTGCTGTAGTAGAATCAAGTAGTTTCATTTTTGTAAGTTGGTAGCTGACTCCGGAAACGTGTTGAGATTGGTTTAAAAAGAAAAACACGAGCGAGAAGGGATAGCGGGTAGAGAGTTAAGGGGGGAAGAAAAAAATGGATACAGACATGTGGTTGTAATTGTTGAAGGCTACTGATATTAACCTGGAAAATATATATTGTGATTAGGAATAAAATTAGTATAAGAGTTTATTGTTTAGTGGGAATAATATGAATAACTAATAACTTGGAGATTGTTTAATTTAATGACATGTATTATTAAATTATATTACAACAATTAATTAATTATTATATTATAAGACAAATAATATAATAAATCCTACTATGGTTTTAATAACTTACTACTGGTATAGTGAGAGAGCCCTTATTGCAATAATAATAATGAGATGTTGAGATAGCACAGAAATTAACTAAGAAAGGTTCACTTTAGTTTGTTTACATCCTCGATGCACTTGATATACATTTTTGCAGATGAATCGTTTTTCCTTGCGAAGATCGTGCAATTACGAACCCACACGTACTGAAAGTCGACTAATGTTGCTTTATCCTTTGTCCGCTTGAGAAGATTTTGTGAAGAGGAATGAGATGTTCGTTCGCGTATATATTACGAGATTCACCAGTAATACCAATATCTATACTAGTGGTACCCTTTCTACGGCGTATCCCGGAAATTGTGCTGTCCTTCACTTGTATAGACCTCAGCTGGACGATGAGATTTTTAGGTTTATCAGATAATTGCGATCTAGGTAAAACACGATATGCATTAATTATTACCTCTACAGATATATTCACCTTCGCACACTTCGCAATTGCAATGGCCAAATTAGTGACGTTTTCATTTTGTTTTTCGGGAATCCCGGATATTTCGAGGTTCATTAGACGTTCACGTTGCTGCGCATGGTTAAATTCCGCCTGAAGGATGTTGTAGTCATGCTTGAGTTTGGTAAAATCCGTATTTAAATCCTTTAATTCGTTTACTTCCAATGTGATTGATTTTATGCGTGAATATAATGTTTCTTGCTCAGCTGAATGATAGTTGAGAGATTCCTTTAAACTAGAGATGTCATTTTTTTATTATAATATTTTCTTTTATAATTGTATCCACCGTGGTTTTTATTGAGTTGACCTGTTCTCTTATAATGAAAACATTTTCGTTCATTGTTTTAATAACTTCTTTCTCTGATTTACTAAAATCCGACAAGAAATTAATCATTTCATTGTGAAATTCTGCAAAATCGTCCTTCATATACGCGGTAGAGCCATGATGCAGCTATATTAGTAGTATAGTTGTAGCACGAATGGGTCGGCTCGACCGGGGAAGGACCACGCTCTCACAGAATACCAGCGTAAAATAACAGCTTAACACTGCTGTGTTTCGTATGGTGAGTGTAGAGAACCGGAGACCCTTTTTACTAGAAAAGAGGCATTCCAACTTAGTCCTCACTGGTTACGACGCATCTGCATTTTGATTCCCAAATGAGGATAAATGTAGATGTCTATGGGTCACAGCATTCACTTACCATCAGGTGGGCTGTGTGCTCGTTTGTCACCCTATCCTATAAAAAAAAATCACGTTCAGGGTGTTTGCGTTTACGTTGCGTTATTTGATCGAAGGTAGTATTTAAACTTCTCAGTTGCGATAGTTCGGATTGACAACCACTCAGACTAGAACCCTCCTTGGGCTTAGGCGGAGTGCGCAGTAGGTTCATATTAAGTTGCCACACAAGACAAGTAATCTTCGAGAGTGAGCAAGATAAAATAAAATCAGTAATTGCGTCATTTACCCGAGGTGATAATGGGCGAGATCGTTGCACTTTTACTGTTTGCACACGACTCAATTATACGATAAAAAGGTTTCCAAGACACGTCCACACACTAGGAGCGCTCGCGCGTAATTTTATTTTAATTCTTTTAGAAAATATTTAAGATCTATGATTCTTCTTTCATCTGATACTTCATTGATTTCTACATGATTTCTATCTAACGTGTGCTCGTCGTCTGGAAACCTATAACACTAATATATTTTATTACATACACTATAAAGCAGACCCTAATAATAATGCATGAATTCTCACAGCAAACATCTCGTTCTCTTTATTATAATTTAAAGAATGCCTTTGATATTATCATCATAATATTATTAAATTTATTTTAAAATATGTATTTCATATAAAACATTTAAAAAAAAACATATTCATAGCGCAACCGATATTTAGATATAATAGTGAAAAGGTACAGTTCGTCTAATGTCATCCGCACCGCGCTGCAGCGCAAACAGTATAGTAACCATTTTAAAATTCCAAACACCTATTTCGGTGCCTTTTGCAGTGTATAAGCAGGTAGGATACGAGGATTTATAGCATTGTAAAATTTTCATTCCAATAATGAAACATGGTTGAAAAAATTGAACAATGTTTTATTAAAATTTAAATACATACATACATACATACATAGCATCATGCCATTATTCACCGAAGGGGTAGCTAGAGGTGTATAGTGCACCCACATTTCGCCAGATATGTTGTAAGTCCCATGTAATAGGGGGCGAGCCACTAACCGACCACCAATCCATATAGTTCCGTCATGCAGTAAAATTAAAACAAAATGAAAAGTAATAAATTCGCAAAACATTCCAATCGTAATAAAGACGAAGTCGCGAGAAACAGCTAGTTATATAATATAGCTACTAGGTGATAAGACTCCTTTTTACATTAAAATCCGTCTGGGTGGGTTCCACACTCTTACCTATTTCTGCCGGCAAGCAGCAGTGCCTGCTCTGCTGTGTTCCGATCTGATAAGTCCAGGCTGTAAGGTATTCCAGCTTCCTTACAGGATAACACGTCAGTTTCTCTATTTGTAGTTGGTTCAGATGTCCATGGGCTACAAAAATGGCGCTCCATTTTAGTCCTCAGGGTCTGTCAATCTGTATTTCGATTCTTGCTTTAGGGGCCACACAATCCGAACTGACACCTGAGTCTGAAAATTCAGAGTTGATTATTGCATAACCGCTTGAGTCACTATGAATATATTTAAATGCCTGTACCAGCCCAACGCTCTCCCAAACGAGGCTAATGTTTCACAAAACGCATCCTTGTCCACTCTGTCATAAGCCTTTTCCAAGTCGAAAAATGCACAGAAACCTTACTGATTTTTGGAACTAAAACTCCCCTTTGCTTAGAAAATTTTACATTTCCTAAAAATTTCTTTAAAATTGATTAAAAACTTGCGCTAGCAGCTAATTAATCACGCTTAAACTTCCCTCAGTTTATCAACAATTCTTTACCGCCTTTTATATTTTACACCTTTTAATGACATCATTAAGTGTTATGTTCGCATGAACATATTGGAACGAAGTGTTTATCGTACGATAAGGATTTGGCAGATAGCGACTAGGCGACAAAAACTGTAAAATTTTTCTGTCACGACCCCTTCTGAAGTAGTGTAGAAGGCCTTGGCCTAAGGAAGCGAGATGGAATAATATCCATCCATCACCCTCACACTTTTTCTTATCTTGACATGAAATAAATATTATTTTATTTTAAATGACACTTCAGTTTAATAGACGCTACGAATTCATTTATTTGTATTTGTTAATCAATAATATAATACGTTTATCAATAAAAATATACTACGAAGGGAACTTTCCAATCGAGTGTTCCACGACACTCACGCATGTTTTTTTGTAATAAAATAAGTACTATATAAGCGTTGTAGTGCCGTTCGTTGTGCAGTAGTTAGTTGTAGCGTGGAGTAGAGTTCGTACAAAAATGTTCGCGATCTTCTCCGTTGTTGTGTTGACATTAGTGCTAGCGGTGATGGTGGGACTTTATCAGAAAAATACCAACGCGATGTGCAAATCGAAGAAGAGACTTGATGGGAAGACCGCCATCATCACAGGCGGCACCACCGGCATGGGCCTAAGAATTGCTATCGACTTCGCCGACCGAGGAGCCAAGGTAATCGTCGCATGCCCTTACCCTGACGAAGGGACCAGCGCTATAAAAACGGTCAATGACTAAACCGGCAGTGAGAAGGTGATCTACAAATACCTCGACCTTGCCTCCCTAGATTCTGTGCGGAGTTTTGCAGCAGACGTCATGAACACCGAAGATAGACTTGATATTTTAGTTAACAACGCCGGAGTTGGTGTTATCGGTGATTTTCTGACCAAAGACGGCCTGCATATTATAATGCAAGTAAACTATTTTGGACATTTCCTCCTAACGCTGTTGCTCCTGCCGCTTTTGAAGAAGACGGGAAAGCCTTTGGAACCGAGTAGGATAGTGAACACGTCATCTATATATCATAATATTGGCAAGATCGATTTCAAAAATTTAAACAAAACTAATTATTGGTACAAGTTTCAAATCTACGCGCACAGTAAGCTAGCTCTGGTACTGTTCGCTCGAGAACTTACTTGTAGGTTGAGGGGCAGCAAGGACACGCATGTCGTTATTAATTCTGTCGATCCCGGCGCAGTTGGCACAAATATTTTTTATTCGTTTGGTCCCATCAGAGGTGCGATTATAAAGTTTCTGTTTTATAATATGTTTAAAACACCATGGGAAGGAGCTCAAACTGCTATCCACGTAGCGATGGATAAGAAGGCCGGTGAAGTTAGCGGGGAATTCTTCAAAAACTGCAAGCAGGCGTCAGCGCACTGGAATGCTTACAACGAGACAGTTGCGAAGCAGCTGTGGGAAGAATCAGTTAGACTTGTGAAAATGAGTGACGAAGAACTCAATCATTGCTTCCTTGATTTGTAAATCTAAGGTTAGTTCCGTGTACTTTGCAAGTATTAAAAATATTGTGTTTATTAATAATAATATAACATTTCTGTGATATTAACTCGACAATTAAAATATTTTTAAATTAAAGAAGTTTTTTAAATGAAGTTACAAGAGAAAATACATTAACCTTCTTTACCGTCATCATAATCTCCAGTTTACTAAAGCCTCTTTTTTCTTTATTTCTCTTTTAAAACGATAAAAATTTCTCCTACGAGTAAATCATGAAGGCGCTTACATGTGTAAATTGCACATAGGCAAACTTTCATATGATAGCGTTTAGTGGCGGTGTAAGATTATCCAATAATCCATATCGACCCGTGAGTGTCATAAGAGACATCAAAGTGAAACTAACCAGGAGATGGGCAGCAGCTATTCCTAATAAGAATGAAAAACTAACAACCTGCGGTTACCAACCCGTCTGCCAATTGTGGCCACGCATATCCCTTGGCAGAAATGGAATCCTACCTAGTAATGATGCTTGGAGTAGTTAGTACGTAAAGCATACAACTTTGTCCTGTAATACTCGTAAGAAGACTACCTCGGTATCCAGATCGACAGACCTTTTTTGGATTTCGGGCGGACATAATTTGCTTGCAGCTAAATCAATTTATCACATTGATAAACTACGCACAGTAGGCTTTGCACGGTTGATACCTGCATCTAGACAACAACGCCTTCTACCGTGTCTAATTGTGAATCTAAACCATTCTCTAATCAACTTAATCACACACACAAAATTCTATCAAAATGGGTCCAGCAGTTTAGGAGGAGTTCAGTCACACCTACACATGGACAGAAGAGTTATATAATATACTTGCTGGCCAGGCAGACGTTGTTCTGCCCTTTCCGAAGACACTTCCTATAAAAAATTCTAAAATTCGCAACAACACAATATTGAGGGTCACTATTTATCGGGAAAAATATCCTATCTATCAAGTTAGACCAAACTCCACACAGTGTGCAAAATTTCATTGAAATCAGTTCAGTAGTTCAGGAGTATATCGCGGACAAACAATGTGACACGTAATTTTTATGTATAAAGATATACTAGCTTACCAGGCAGACGTTGTTCTGCCCTTTTCGACGACCATTTTCTTTCCTAAAAAAAACTCTTGAAATTAGCAAATTAAAAAATTGAGGGTCACTTATCGGGATAAAACTATTCTATCTCTGAAATTGGACCAAGTAATTTTTATATACAAAGATAATGTATTAATATACATATAAACCCTCCTTTTGAATTATTCTGTCTATTAATGAAAATCGTTGCGTAGTTTAAAAGATATAAGCGTACAAACGGAGGGAAGCGTCTTTGTTATATACTATTAATTTAATAACAAAACATAAAGTAAAAACGCTTGTACGGACTATAACCCGCAGAGCGCAAGATACAGTCAATCACAGAAGATGTTCCGTAGATGTCTCAGTATGCCCGTTTATTGAAAAGTAAGCTGACGAGATTCCAGATTCGCAACTTCACACACACACACACACACACACACACACACACACACACACACACACACACACACACACCCACACGCACGCACGCACGAACGCAAGCCTGCACGCACGCACGCACGCACGCACTACACACACACACACACACACACACACTCTAAATCATAGGTAAACTTGCTCGGCTTATCTCAATATTTAATGTTATTAGGAAGAGTAGTGCCTCCTGACACAGGTATTCTTTTATACTTACTAAGAGGCTCCAATTACTTTATTATTTAGTATGCCTTGAGAAAGAAATAAATGGATTTTTAATTTTTTTTATTTAATTTCATTTTAATTTAATTTAATTTTTAATTTTATTTAATAAATAAAGTTGAAAACGATCAAAGAAATTTGACAGATGGGGTAGCTTGATTTGCTGGCGTCTGTACTATGACGCGCTCTCATGTAGTGTGATTTATAGGGTTCCGTAGTTTTTTAATAATAAAATAAGCACATAAATATACAAATGTGGACAGATTTTTATTTTTCGGTGCACCCCCTTGTGGTGGGTATCATTGAATAGGTCTTTTAGGTAATGTAAATACATCACTTTTTTATCAGTTGTAACGTTTGCCGTCGTAGTTCAAAGGTCATTGCCCCTTACAAAAAATATATTAGCATACAATACTCCTTTCGTAACCTTCTAGTTGATTACATCATAAAAAGTATGATATAGTCGTTTCTAATAATTGAACACATTTCTAAGGATGCTAACTTCGACACTTAAATAAATAGCCTATTCACAGATATCATGAATTCGTACAATTTATTTCTTTATTTATTTACAACTTCATTGTTTTAACCAATAAAAAGGTTACAAAGGATAAAATAGAATAGAGTAGAATAATTTTTATTCAATATACATTACATGTGTAATTCTTATTGAAAGTAATTTTTTACTTTACCACTGGTTCGAAAAAAAATTATTAATAAAAATAAATTTAATTTATAAGAGTTATTATGAGTATTATATTTTTTTTTTCTGTGGCAACCCCGGTGACAAATAGTTAAAAAATTGGAGTTTTGGCGGGAAATTGACCGGCGGCGGTTTGCTGCTCCTGTATTATTGTTTAAATAATGGTTTGAAGTGGACTTTGATATGTAAAAGTGTTGCGATTTGTGTCTACGCATGTGAACTATTAGTGGAAACAGTGAAACAAGTGCTCTGATGGTGATGGATTCTCAAGATAAGCTGTTTGTTTGCATAGGCACCTTTAGATACCATCGCCAACTGTCAGCTGTCTGCTGGATCAAGTTGCCGCCAAAATCTCCCAAGAACTGCACAATGTGACGCATCAACATATTGTGAAGCAGTATACTATGAAGGAGTGGGGAAATTACAATAAACCGAATAAAAATACTTAAGACTTGGCCTAAAGGTCTAGAATCTAGATACCAGGCCATAAACTCCAACAAAAAAAAAGTTAAAAAATTGGGCTCCCAAATAATTTGTAATTTCGTAAAAATAATTATTGTAATTGATAATTTCCACCTCAAATTTAAGTTATAGTTGTTAATTACGAACAAATTGTATTGTGTAATAAATAAAAGTGGTAAATATTTAAATAAATAAATTTTTAGTGCCTCTCAACTTAAAGTGACAGCAGGTAACGAAGACCGTTTAAAAGTTACTGTAATTCTTGTTATCCCTTTTAATATTTACGATATATCTCTTAAGTGTTGTTGTTTTCGGATTTCATTTTGAATTGTTTTCTTGATAATTTAATTTGAGATCTGTAATTAGAGTCCTACAATTGGATATTTGCTTACTCTGTTCCCTTGATTTTCCATCTTTGTTTTCCTTTACTATTTAAAATACATAGTAAAATAAATACTCGTAACGCCAAACCGCGCCAGATGGAGAACCAACTCCATCTTGCGCTCCAAGAACTGAGGGCGTCCAGGGAGCAGTGTGAGCTGTTACTTAAAGAAAGGGATGCCAACGAAAAGGAATTAATAAGTATAATTTCGAAAAATACTCAATTGAAAAGTGATAAGGTTAAGTTACATAGAGACTATACAGATATTTTAAAGGAAAGGGATCAGCTCCAGGGGACAGTGGATGAGTTTGACCGATGCAGCAAAGAATATGAGGAATCCCTCAGATTAATTGCTGCATTGAAATTACAATTAACTGAAGCTAATGAGCAAATTTCACAATTTAAAGAAAACATTGATAACTTGCATGCACTTAAAACACAGAGTCTGTTCGAAGAGCTCGTAGAATGTAAATTTCATAAAACGTTGCAACCCTCCACAACAATAGATTTGACTGATGATTCTACCACATCAAGAACAGCAGAAAGGATTACAAGCAGCAGAAAGAAATTAAAAAAATATATAAAAATTAATAAATATATTAGGAAAGTGCAAAAATTAGTTAAAACTAAAATTAATATTAAAAATTATAGAAATATATGTAAGGAAAAGCAAGAGTTAATTAGTAAAATTAAATTATATTCAATTGAGGTGGAAAACATGAAAAATTGTTATGAGACTGAAATAGAGTGTCTTAATTCAGAAATTTTATCACTTCAAACCTCATTACAAATTATGTCAAATAAATATAAATTAGCAGGGAATGAGTTAAAAGAACACATACTGGCCATGGATAATCTGGTAAAGTCCTGCAAATATAACGAGGAACGTTTTGACTCCTTATTAAAATATCAAAATGAATATCAGCGCTCACTGCCAGGTTCTTTAGGGACAGTGTGTGTTAATAATATAATAAGCAGTAATACTTCATTTTCTTTACCTACACTCTATGATAGTACCATAACAAAGCAGATAAATTTAAAAAGTGATTCATATAATGAAAAAAATAATATAATTGTGTATAGTGATGATATAGGCAAAAGCTTGGGTATATCATTGAATAACTGTTTAAAAAGGCAACAGATAAGTAATTACTGCATGCCTGGAGCATCATTCAGTGATATTATGAATAAAATTTTGACTAGTAAATTTAACCCTAATAGTATATTAATAATTTTTGTTGGGAGAAGAGGCAATATGAACAAGAATCAATTATTAAAATATATTGAATATCTCAATAACATAAATGTTGTTAAAGTTATCTTGTTTACATTGCCTTACATAGAGGGGTGGCCACAGGAAAATAAACTAAGACATAATTTAAATTTAATGATGCATAACTTGACATGTAACAATAACTTAAATTTGACATTTAATTGTAAGAATAATAATGATAAATTTCATTTAATTGATATTAATAATTTAACTAAGAAGTTTTTGACAAGAGATAGGTATTACCTATCAAAGTATAGTTTAAAACTGGTAGCAAATACGCTATCTTATTATTTATATTTTAACTCAGCCAATGATTTGGCTACCTTGACGCCTGCTTCTTTTGAGCAACAAAATAATTTTACATTTGATTTGGAACCAGTTCCAAGTAATTTAAATTAGATAATAAGACAATAGAGGTAATCTCTAGCAAAGATAATTTA